GAAGGGGGTCAATGGCCAGCCCGTAAAGGGAGGTAAACCTTGCTTCTTTCAGATGATATAGAAATAAAGTGAAGATTGCTTCATACATAGTATGTTTGGTGGTAAAATTTCAGAAAGTAGACCAATATGGTATTTTCATATTGTTTAAAAATTGGACAAAGTAATTAAAATATAAATGAATTTGTTCACCAAGCTCTTTAAATAAATGCAACGCTATAGTCAATAATAACAACTTCATTATTTCATTCATTTTTGTGCACAATTTAAAAGTCAATTATTGAAACATTGATTGTACTAGTTACATGTTTATATATAGAAACATGCATTTCAGTATGTAAATCAAGCAGTAAGTTATATCTACATTGATGTTCTCTTTTGCGAGGGAGTTCCCATACTTTGATTTTTTATGTTGAGTATTTATGCGTCATATTTTCATTTAAGCTGTTGTACAATTGTAGATACTATGATATAAGATATTTTGTTTTCTCATGATGCTTTTTTCAAAATCTGACGTTATAAATAATTTCATTGATTAATGCATGAAAAGCATTATACTTAGTGAATTTAGAACTCCAATAAATCTAATATGACTTTTTGTGAATGTGTGATTTCTTATTACAGTATGTTTGAAAGGCTGTAAGAATTAAGGGAAGAATTACTACATATCAGAGTATACATGTATATAATTAATTTTCAAAACATAAATATATAAGAACCACAAAATGCAGGATATATCACTCTAGAATATGAAATTTTTAATGTGGCACTTAAAGTTTACAGTTGTGACAAAAAATATTTAGTATGGGTACAAGGACTCTCTAACTTGTACAAGGTCGGTGTCACACAAGGATCCCACATTTTCGTACTGCAAATGCAATATAATTCAAAGAATTATCAGGTCCCCCCATTTTTGGTGTCTTTGTGGTTGAGATATCATTTTTTATGACATTGTGTCAAAGATGGACAATCTATCATATATTGTAATTAGAAATTATTACCGAAGTTAAATTTTAAACAAATAAGGTCAATTGTGGAGATCAAGGTCAAGGAGTCAGAAATCATAACATGCTTGGAAATATTTTGTCACAGGTAATGCACATGCCAAATCTGAAAGCTTTTTTTAATCAAAAGTTATAATGAACAAGATGTGTTTGTTTAACACTGATGACCCCTGTATAGCAAATTGGCAACATAGTGAATATAAAACTTTTCTTAAATGCAAATTAATTATATTGTTACCCAAAGTAGGGTCTTCTCACAAAAAATATGATATAGTGAAATATGAAAACCCTAGCACCACCTGTTCAAAAGTTATGACCAAAGATAAGTTTTTGAAAGGTATGTCAAATTTCAATATCAAAGTTTTTGATTTCTTAAGAAATGTCTTGGCAGTATTACATATGTACAGTTTAAAAGCCCTAGCCCTTTAAATATCATAGGCTTTTTTATTATATAGGCATTGAAAATTTAGACTTCTCTTTTTTATTGGTGTAGCCCCCCCCCCTGACATACACTTCCATTGCTTCCGACACCTATGCTAATGGCCAAGGGTAATTTTTTTTTAATAAATTATATCAAATGTTAAGGTCAGGGTCAAAGGGTCAAAATTCTTGATACCCAATGAAAGGGCTTGTCACAAGGATTAAATATTTGGGGTGTGAAAGCCCTAGTCCTTACCATTCAAAAGTTATGGCCAAGATTAAAGTGTTTGAAAAGTAGATCAAACTCCAAAGTCATGGTCAGAAGTCAAAGGTCTTAATATTTAATTTTTAAAAAATCTTTGTAACAAGGATTAAATATGTGAAGTGCGAAAGCCCTAGCCCTTACTGTTTAAAATTTATGGCCAAAGTTAAACTTTTCTAACTAGGTGAAACTCCAAGGTCAAGGTCAGTGTTCTTGTTATCCAATGAAAGGTCTTCTCACAAGAATTAAATTTTTGAATTATAACAGCCCTACCCTTGCCATTCAAAAGTTATGGCAAGGTTAAAGTTTTTTCATAGTTCAGAAATCTCCTACATCAATGTCAAAGCTGTTGTTATCCAATGAAATGTCTTGTCACAAAGAATACATATGTGAAATATGAAATTAGAGTCCTAGTATCTACCGATTAAAGTTATGGCCAAAGTAAAAGTTTACAATTTCTGTGTAAAAGTAGGTCAAACTCCAAGACCAAAAGGTCAAATTTGTTGATAACCAGAGAAAGGTATTGTCACAACGAATAACAAGCAAATTCAAAGAATTGTGGTCCCCCGCTTTCAGTGTCTTTGTGGGTGAGATGTTATTTTTTATGACATATTGTGTGTAATATGAACATACTATCATATGTCATTTATTTAGAAAGTAACACTGATGTTGATTTTTTTGAAGGATGAAAACCCCAATCCTGACCGTTAAAAAGTTATGGCCAAAGTAAAAATGTGTAAAGTACACGAATCGGCCAGACAACATATTAAAAGTGCAAGTGATAAACAGAAAACTGGTTACGATTACTCTTTGAAATTTAACCCGTACAAGAGTGGTGACCTCGTATGGCTCTTTGACCCTAAGCGCAAGATTGGTGTGAGCCCGAAATTGCAATCTAATTGGGACGGACCTTATCGCGTGATTACATCAATTAGTGATCTTGTGTACCGCATTCAAAAGACATCAAATTCCAGACCGCGTGTTGTGCATTACAACCGATTAAAACCATATTATGGTGAGACTGACGTGTGGCAGCCGTCAAGTGCGCATCAGTCTGGTAATGATGACGAGACCTTTTCTACAGACAGTGCGAGTGACGATGATGATCGCGAGACAGATACAATTGATGCGGAATTCGGTCGCGGTAAACGAATTCGCCGTCCAGTGGATAGATTAGATTTGTAAAGTGACAATAAATGACAATGAACTGTGAAAAGTTTTTAATGGCACATTTTGTATATAATCTCTGATTTTTGTTTTATGTGTATAAATAATGTCATTTGCATAATCATTTTAAATGTAAATACTGAAAAACATGTGCATGGATTTTGTTCAACATTTATATAATTTTTATGTTCATATTTTTATGCAATGATTGTAAGTTTTTGTATATTGTGTATTATATTTTCTAACTGTCTGTCAAAAGTTTCTGCTAGGTAATTGATCTAGAGTGTCTTATAGGAGGAGTTTAATTGTTACCGGCCGCCAGGAGGCGGTCGGTTATATGATATGAAAGTTTTTAGTCCCTGTGCGTTTCTGCGGAGCTAACAATTTAAATAAAAATATTCAACATCATATCGCCGGCGTTTTAATATTAAACAAAGATTTCTAAATGTTTAGGAAAAAGCACAATAATCGTAAAATTCAATTTTATAAATAATGGGGTAAATATTTCATCCAATCCTGATTGACAAACTCTGATATAACTGAAGTGCGGAGAAAATTAGTAGGAGCGTTCGGCATAGTCTAAAACAAAGACCGCGTTGTAAATCAACAATTTTACTTTCTCTTTTTTAAAACAGGATCTGCTGTATTAATTTGAAATGAAGTGTATATTTAAACATTTCCTATGGCTGATTTTCAAAAATATGATGAAACATTGATCTCTTAAAAGCAAAGAATATTACGACATGTTGGTCCAGGAGACTAGGATAGAGCGCGTTTTACAAAGTTCCAAACATTTTCCCGCCACATCTCAACACCAAAACAAAGAGATTGAAAGAGAAGAAATGTAGTGGTGGATCTTGAAGGAGTTGTGGGGGGGGGGTAACATCCTATAAGAGAGAGCGAGGAGCCCCACATGTTTTATATTTGTTGCGTTTTTATTAAGGTAAAACTATAGCTAAGTTTAAACTTTAGTTTTGTACTTTAAATGTAAAAACTACTTAAACAGCACGTTATATATATACCAAACTGAGTGCAGAGACGCAGAATACTATGCATAGTTTTATTGCCTATACATGTAATACTGTACATGCATTATGCAATCGGCATTGTCGCATGCATTTTTTTTTCATGTCACGAGGATATTTTAACAGATAAATATAAGAATTTTTTTTAAAAACAGCAAATTTCAGTTTCTGAAGAATTTAAAAAAAAACAGCAAATTTTAGTTTCTGAAAGGAACTTCAACAGTTATATAAATTGGTTTGCGGCCGATTTTTGACGCTTGCGTCAATATGTTTCTTGTTGTAAATTAACATGTGTGGGCACATGTCTTTGAAGGAGAGAGCAATGTCATAATTTAGAGTTTCACTAATCTAATTTATTTGTGTTATCTTTAAATCATGCATGTTGAGCATTTATTGCTCTGCACTGTTATTCTAGTGGGTAACGGGATATGTCTGTCAGTGTCCTATCTGGTGGTCGCTGATGTTTCTCATGGGAATATAGGGGTTCATTGTTTATATTCCTGATTAAGGTTGGTCACTATCGGTGCTTTATGATTTTGGCTGGGAACCTTGAGTTTAATGAGTTAGTTCTGCAGTAGAGTTTAATGCAGATGGATGTCAGTTCTGTGTTAAGCAGATGGACTGATGTATTAATGTCTAACAACATAATTTTTCAGTAAAAAAAAAACACTGCCCCTACAAAGGCATCGGACAAAAATGACCAACATTCACAGAGAAGTTGAAAAAAAACCTGTCTAGGTCCCCAGTCTTTTGATACAGCCCGATTGCTCAGTGAAGTTTTGGCGGGAAAATAATTAATTCGACAAAATTATAACATAGATAAAACACAATCTTTTAATAACTTTCTTATTTTATATATAAGTAAAAGTAGTATTAACCTACCTATTTCTCATAATTATAATAGCATAAAAATAAATAAACTTAATTTTAAAGTTAGATATACATTATTTTATTACAACACAAACGCATTATCCGGGTCCTTCCGCCAAGCTCGGTGAATTCACTTCGAGGTTCTTTCTTTTCATTCGCTTACCGGAAAGATCCGAGGATATGAAAAAACCAATGATAGTCCTCGCATTTCCCGCCAAGTATATATATATAATAAAAGAAAGCGCGCATCTGATACTGCGTCAGATTGAAAAATTCAACAGAAGAGGCTAGTGTGAGAACCGCTGTTATCCTCCGAGGACTTACTCCGCTATGGCAACTCCAGAGAAACGATTCAAAGCAGACCAAGAAGAAATAGAAGGTTACATCCATGATGTATCACCCCTAAAGACGTCCAAGAACAGTAACAAGTACTTCAATGCCGTTCTTCAAGAAGCCGAGGGTTTCAGTGACGTTGTTTGCTTCAGAGCCGATCTACAACCCCAGCTTGTGGATTTTGAGAAAAACAAGTAAGTAAAAAGCGCCGAAAACGTATTATAAATCACTTAATTAATGCGTAGTATTTCTTGTATTCACATACCATGTATGCCATTTGAAATGAAGGCACAAGTTTCAGAATTCGGTACTTGAAAAGCATTTTATGCGTGTTAAAATTTAAGCGCAAAAACTTAATGAATACGCTGGTCATGAAGAACTGGTATTTCTATAAATATGTAATTAATTAATTACAAAATTTTGAATATCAACTTTAAGAGAGCATCTGACAATCGAAATTCTGAAACGCACTCATTAAACACTTGGATGTTTCTGCTGCGGTGACGGGCTACTTTCGTTTTTGTTTGCTGCAGAAAGGCTGATATAAAAGTTCTAGATAAATAATAAGAGCTCGAATTTGGCAAATGCATTTGAAAGAAATCAATCATAATGATGGCTGCTCAAATAAAATTATTATTATATTATTAAATCAAACTGTAGTAGTTTCTCCAATTGCAGGTCACGCAGTCTCGAGCTCGTGGCATTAACATCTCAAAATTCTATGTACAAAACCAATCGACAACCATGGTTTTACCTTGATTATCAAAATTATTCTAACTGGAAAATATTTTTTTCTAAAAATTAAAATCGAGTTAACCCTTTAAATGCATCTTTTAAATAAATGAATTTAATTATATTATTTTTAATCCTAATACATTTTTTACATTCTGCATATACTGCAATTTGTTTTGTTGTCATTGTTTTGAAAATAATTTAAACATATTTCTGTGATTGTTTTACTTTTTTCCCAAGCTGTATGACTTGTTTTATGTTTCAACATCATAAACATCGTGTTCCGAAACGTTCCATAAATATTACACGACCGTAAAGTCACATGACCCGGAAATGGAAAATTTTAAAAATTTGTGAGTTTTAAAATGTTTGGATTTATAAACATAAAATATAAATTGAACGTTTGTATCAACGAAACACCCTGACCCCGGAATGGACAGTAAAAAGCAACGAGGTGACGAGAAGTTTTCGTAATTTTTTGAAAGTTCTAGTGAGGGAAAACAGCATTGTCATAAGGAAAATTTTAAATTTGTGAGTTTTAAAATGTATTTATAAACACGTTTGTCCTGGATTCGTATACAGCATTCATATTATACTATATACATGTACAGTACATATTTAATTTCAAAGTAATTTATGAAGTAGACTAAATAGACCCTTTTCCTTTGACATATTTTGCCTACGAGTTATTCACCTTAGTCGCCATCTTGAAGGGCAAAGTAGTGAATTTACTTTTTTGAGCAACCAATTTTCTGTATCTGTATAGTTACGTTGAAGAAACCTATGTAGGCTTCTATACAATGGTGAGAGAGAATGCCGAATTTGTTTGGCGGTCTTCAATCCCTCTATAGTGTTTGCATGCACGTAGGAGTTTGGTAGGTGGTTCCACTGAATGCACGTCTCAACATAGCTGCAGATCTGTAGCGTTATGGTTTTAAATATTTTTCTTTGACTATAACGCTACAGATCCCATAGTGTAAAAAAAGTGCAATTTACAGCGCAATATTTTTTGTGCTCTTTTGGGGAGAATTTCTCCACTTTCTAGCTTTGGTCAATCAACTATCTTTCACCCCTAGACAGATTTCGTAGCCAATATGTATAGATTATCCACCTCCCAACCATTTATAGTTGTCTCTACAGGCAATAAACTCGCTGGATTAAAATTTTCGGTAATCTAACAAATAATTTTAATCAAGCGAGTTTATCACTTGTAGAGACGACTATAAAGGGTTGTGAGATGGACAAAATAAACAGATAATGTGTCTAGAATTAGGGGTTGAAAGGTAGTTGATTGAACATGTGTTAAACGATGCTGGAAAGTAGAGAAATTCTTCCCTAAAGAGCGCAAAAAATATTGCGCCGTAAATTGCACAATTTTTATACGCCCGTCTTAAGACGGGACGTATTATGTTATAGGCTTGGTGTCCGTCCGTCCGTCTGTTAGCTTTTCTCGTGTCCGGCTCATAACTAATACTATAAGGCCTAGAGTTATCAAACTTTGTCAGCTGACACATCTTTGGTAGAAGGTGTGTCGCGCACAAAAAGTAGGTCGCTCTGACGTATTATTAAAAAGTTATAGCCAAATATGGAAAAATCCTGTCCGGTCCATAACTAGAAAACTATTAGACCTAGAATCATCAAACTTGGCCAGTTTATGCATCTAAGATAGAAGGTGTGTCGCGACCTATTTTAAGGTCACTGTGACCTTTAATTTGAAATGAATTTTAAAAAAATGTCTTTTTTTCTATTCATTTACACATTCAAAAAATGTTAAACTATTGCACTAACCTTATTAGAAAATGTTAAATCAAGAAAATATTTATTTTTTTAGCATAAACTTAACAGAAATCTAAACAAATATAATGTAGGTTAGAGAAATTCCACCACTCCCATGAGTCTAATTATATAGCACTGGTCAAGAAGAATTTTGATAACAGAAAATTGCATGTCAAATTAGAGAGGAAAATTAATGAGTTTAGTGTGAGGTGTAGCTGTCAGAGCATCGGTGCTATCTATATCCCTTGAGTATTGGGCCAAATGGGTAAGCCTTTTGGATTAAAAAAAGATCTTTTTCTTGGCCAGTTTATTCATCTAAGATGGAAGGTGTGTCGCGACCTATTTTAAGGTCACTGTGACCTTTAATTTGAAATGAATTAAAAAAAAAAATGTCTTTTTTTCTATTCATTTACACATTCAAAAAATGTTAAACTATTGCACTAACCTTATTAGAAAATGTTAAATCAAGAAAATACTTATTTTTTTAGCATAAACTTAACAGCAATCTAAACAAATATAATTTAGGTTAGAGAAATTCCACCACTCCCATGAGTCTAATTATCTAGCACTGGTCAAGAAGAATTTTGATAACAGAAAATTGCATGTCAAATTAGAGAGGAAAATTAATGAGTTTAGTGTGAGGTGTAGCTGTCAGAGCATCGGTGCTATCTATATCCCTTGAGTATTGGGCCAAATGGGTAAGCCTGTTGGATTAAAAAAAGATCTTTTTGGCTAGCCAAAGGTTTAAAATGAATTTGATGAGAAGTTATTAAAACTAATTTGATATTGCATATGAAACTATTTTGATATTACATAATATTATGAACTTCATAATTAATATTATGGGGGTAGGGGTGGAATCTGCATGTCCATATGAATTGCCGCTGCATTTCATTTCCGGAAATATGCATAGCATTTCTGACATTTTTTATTTCATTTCCGACATTTTTTGTTTTCATTTCCGACAAAATTTCTTTTTCATTTCCAGATTTTACCTGTGTGACAATTCAATGTTTTCTAAGTAAAAGAAAATGGAATTTTGAAAGTATTTATACCAAAATATTAATAATAATGATAAAATCATCTATACATAATATATGCATGCATGTAGCACCAAGTCTAGGTAAAAGAGTTCAATGAGTATAAATATTTTCACCACATTTAACGTGCACTACATGAAATGTCAGTGACAGCACCATACTTATGTCCAAATCACCGATAGATTAATTTACAAAATTAGAATTAAATGATTTATTTATGATTTATTCCTTTAATTTTTTCATAAGTAAAGCTATCAAATCCATAGGTACTACATATGTACCAGTATTTGAAAAATGTCGGAAATGAAAACAAAAAAATGTCGGAAATGAAAACTAAAAAATGTCAAAAATGAAAAATTGATAATTACCTGAAATTCCGGAAATGAAATGCAGCCTGAATTGCATATAAACAATTAACTGTCTGACATTAAATATAAAAAAAAAAATTATTGATGTTTCATATATTTTAAAAATGTTTATGGTAGTTCTGCAGATCAAATAATCTTTTGGGAGTAATGAGTATACAAGCATCCAGTTAAAGATTAATTAATGTGTTCAATGTAGGAAGGCTAACTGCATGTCTCATTCATTTAATCTTAAGAGCATGATTTTATCTGTATCCTTCGGGAATTAGACAGGAGAACTGTTGTTCAGTTTATATTTGATGGCCATGCAACCTTTTATTTCCAAAATAAATTAAGAATAGATTAAATTTTGAAGACTAATTTGATATTGTTTAATATGATAGGCACTTGGCAAAGTATAGAAATCTATCAATGATGCAATATTTGTTATAATTAATTAATGCCTACACCACAGGGGATGGATAAACAATTTTTTTAAGATGTGTAAAAATCATTGAAATCTTAAAATCAAGGTTGAAATGATTTTCCAGCACTTTTAACTGTTTAGGATACATTATAATTGTAATTTTTTGACGGGCGTATCATGCTGTGGCGTGGCACTTTATTGCACTATGGGATCTGTAGCGTTATGGTGAAAGAAAACTATATAAAACCATAACGCTACAGATCTACAGCTAGTCTCTACAAAGAATGAATGTTGTTATAAGAAAAACAAATTTAATTCACCTCAAAAGTTTACCCTGCGTTTCTTTTTCCCTTCAGTTTATATATAAAAACAGAACTAGTTTAAGGTAGGGCAAGCAAAATCTTAATGAAATTAATTATTTTCTTTTTATAGAACACCTGTCAAACTGCAAAATGTTTCCAAAGTCATCAGCAGAAACAAACCAGGATCTTTTGATGTGAAAATTACCGGCTTGACAAATATCACTTCACCAACAAAAAAACTTCCTTTTCGCTTTGACCCTCCACTGCAAGAAAAGGACACAATACAGCAAATTAAAAACAAGCCACAATATGCAAAGGTATCATTTAATTTAAACTTCTCCACATTATTATCCATTAAAATTATCCATTTGGCCAAGCTTACAAAATTCTTTGTTAGCAGTTCATTGCCGACCTAAAATTTATTGTCTGGGTAGGTAAGAGGCAAATTTTTTTTTTTTTTTTTAATTTTTACCAAATTTTTCTTAGGTAACATAAAACAGTTTTTCATAGCCTGTAGTGTACAAAATTCAGGTAGACCAGCAGGGCTGACTACTCAAAAAAGTCTGTCAGCTCGGCCGAAAATTGGCAAGCCCGCATAAGAAAATTCAGCATTAAGGGGTACACATATTCAGACTTGTACATTTGATCACATCCAGGCCAAAATAAAATTGTAGTTTGTTTGGAATTGCCTCCCTCCTCAATGAAATGCCCCCTCCTGAAAAAATTTTATTGACCAAAAGTAGGAAGATTGTTTTTATTTCATCAATTGTTTTTGCTGCCCCCCTCCTGAAAAAATTTTATTGACCAAAAGTTGGAAGATTGTTTTTTTTTTATTTCATCAATTGTTTTTGCCCATTACATGTATCACATGCTCCATACGAAACACTGAAATATAGTGTCAGATCTTTGTAAAATTAGGGGTTTTTTGTTGATGGTAGATACTCTTTTTAAAAGTCAGAAAATGTATTTGATGTTTACTGAAATTTTTATCAGAGTTCATTTTTATTCAGAGTTGGCGAAAGACACCGACCCTGCGGCAATCTCCAGTAAATTTTGTCCAAGTTCGATAGTTTCTAGAACCACGCTGGACACCGTGTTTTGGAGATTATTCAGAATAATCAATAGTAAAATATAATTAGAGAAATTAAAAATGGCATTATTACTCAAAACTTCATGTAATTGAATCTGTAAGAATTTAACACCATTTAGTATTGCAATACATAATAGTATAGCGATTACCTTGCAGTTATTGAACTCACGACCGCTCTTATGCTGGGGAGTCGGGGAATATTTTATATCATATACCTAGTAGTGTATCGGCCCTGATACAGGCTTTTTGGACTAAGCGAGACAGCGCCTTTGAAGTAGGGCTGTCTCGCCCTCAGGGCTGAGATATCTCTGTCTCGACCCGTCGTCAAGGGGCTGTCTCGCCCTCAAATTTCAAATCATTATTTCTGTTTTATTTGGGTGAAATAAGAGTAAAATTCATATTTTAGTAATAAAGAGAAACATTGTATATCGAAAAATTAAACCAGAATCATTAAAAAATATTTATTTATATTAGAATTTGATGAAAATTGTTTTTAAAAAGTGCTCCAAATGATAGCACTTGTGACGTAAGAGAGGTAACTCTTGTTTACTTCTAGGACATGAAAAAATGGACATTTATTTGCTCTGACAGTAAGACAATACCAAGTTTTCATGTCCTTTTTTTTAATTTGATATATATCGTAAACAAAACAAATAGTTTCAGATTTGCAATTTGTAACAATTCATTGAAGAAGTCAAAACCCCGGTTTGATCTAAAGTGAAAGTAGAATATTTTTTAAAGTTTTTTTTTTAACTTTTTAAATCTTTATTACATATAATGTGCTTGAAATGAAATATTTCAAAACAACAGGGCTATTCTTTTTAATGACTAGACCAAGACAATCTTTCTCTGTATTCGCTTCAAAAATACATTTCCAAGAACATCGAAATAAAGAAAGATAACTCTAATTTTGTTACGACAAAATTATATAAACTTCTTTTTAAAATTGAATAAATGTCTAAATGTTTGTTCTTTTCTTTGGTTTTAGATATATGATATAAACAACATCACACCACTGTTTTGATCAAAACAGCAGTGTGATATTCTATATAGAACACAACAATTTGTTTACAGTATAATGACAATCAAATGACTGGAACAATCATTATGCCGTTGTTGCATTGTATTGCCACAGCTTGAACTCGGTTTATAGATTGTCAAAAAAGGAAAGTTAAAAATATTTTATTTACTTTCAAAAGTAACAATTTTCAATAAAAATTAGCTTATTAAAAAATATCATCAAAAATGTATCATCCGAGGACAAGCTCCTCTACAAAATTTAATACAGTGATTCAGCAAAGAAATTTAACAGGATTTATTTCAGATCTGTCTTTATCAACTCCACAGTGATCCATTTTTCATTGTATTCACTACCACATTGTCCTCATCCACCAAACATTTTCTACCTCCACCAAGAAAGAGTTCTGTCAATCACAAATCAATTTCAACTTTACATTTTGTTTATACATTTGGTCCAGCAAATTTTTAGTGTGTCCTGCAATTTTTGTAATTTTTAGACAGTCTATAGGACACTGTGTCCAACAGATTTTTTCCTCTTTCGCCAACTCTGGGCATTTGCTTTATTGTACTTAAAATATAAAATAGTTTTATTGTACTTAAAATATAAAATAGTTCCTTGATATTCACAATTCAAAAGTAAAGAATGATTGGTTCAAAAATCTCAAATAGTATGAGGATCTTTTGATTCATTCAAACCAAAATGATAGTACTATTGATGTATATTTGCGCATCTTCCTTGAACATGCCTAAAATTTAAGCAAGTCACCTACCAGAACTTAAGCATCAAGAATTTTTTTTTTTACAACTTGTTATGGCTATTTTTTTTCCATGGACTTCTATGATCAAACTTCATATCTATTTTCAGACATCCCTCCTAGCGAAAGTTGTTAATCTTGCGGAAGAGATCGTCATAGAAAATCACTCCACACAGAAAACTTTGAGAAAAAAAGATTGCATGCTTGCTGACAATACTGATACCATAAAATTGACAACCTGGGAGGACCATACAAGAGAGATTGAGCTGGGGAAAACATATGTTTTCAATAACGTCACAGTTAGAATTTGGGATGATGTTAAGTTTATAACAACTTCCGTCAACACTTGCATTACACCAGAAAAAGACTTTGGTCCTTTGCCAAATATCGAAAACTTCGATCTTGATGACAAGAAAGAAACATGCAAAATTACCTCTGTCTCCTGCGAACAGAAAAACAGCTGCCCTCTTTGCAACGTTTCAGTTGAAATAAATGAAAATCTGCCAACATTCAAATGTTGCAAGTGTTGCATGCGTCAAAAAACTATAAATGTCAAAAAAACACTTAAATGTGAAGTTTGTGTAGAGGGGTCTACAAAAAAATTTGCAGTCGCAACTTCACTTTTGAAAGAAAATGAACACACAAAATTGTGTTCCACAGTTGATGATTATGAGGATGCCCTCCTTCAAGAACATATCATGGTTGAACTTACTGGAAATTTTGTTTCCAACATTGTTTCCAACATTACAAATACTTGAAAACAAAAGGATGAAAACTGAACTACACGGTGAAGAAGAAACTAATTTTTGGTTTGGTTTTTTTTTTTTTTTTTTGTATGGTATGCATGCATGATATGCATATTTTATTTTAGAATTGATGAGCAAAGAGATTATTTGTACTTTCACAATCCAATTAGAATGTGTACATGTATTATACATTAACTTTGAACTTTTGTTGAATTTCAACTACTTTCCATACGCATGTACATTTCATATACAAATATGCAAGGATTTTCCTATTGCTATCTTTTTTTACATACAAAAATGATAATAATTATACCTGCATAGCTATAGCAAAAGAAACCTATGCAATATGTCATTAAGTATATAAACTTGGATGTTTTTTTTTTTGTTTTTTTTTTTACTTGGAAGAGATACTTGTTGACATCTGCAATTTTTTTTTACATGCTTTTGTATTAGTTTATAGTTCATTATCATATTATTTATAAAAAGCTACAGGTATAGCTTACTTTATGCTCCAATACTTCCTTTCCATTCCCTTTTGAGTTCTCCTATCATTATGCCAAATGTATAATTAGTATCATTTAATTTACTAAATAGCTTATTGTTTCATTACATGTTGCTTCCTGTTAAAATTGGGGATCAAAGTTGCACTACATACACAGAACTGTTCATTATACATTAAGAGCATATTACCAGTATTATGTAATTCAAATAACAATACCATTTAAATAATTTGTAAGAAAGCCCATGCACATTGTATTTCAGATTGTTTTCAACCAATTTTATCACAAAACATACCAGTTTTTGCATAAATTAATGAGGACCGAGAATTATAACCTATTTCTTCTAATTTAACAATATACATTCTGTTTAGTGTGTAACCACATGCATTCTGCCTAAGATGTCTAATTTGTTTTTACCCTTGGTATTATGCTTAAGTTTGATAATATTTTGTTAATCCCCAGTCACATGCTTGAAGTTTTGTTTAAAAAGTGCATAAATAAAATGTTGTTTTTACCCATTAGTTTTGGCTTTCATTTATTATGCCTTCTATTGAAAAGAAAATTGTCCCATAATGGTTTCAAGGGGAGGGGGAGGGGGGGGGGGGCAAAGCAAATATGAATGTCAGGCCGGGTGTGAGTGTATCAAAAAAATATTATAAAAATAATTATCTAAAGTTTAGAGCAAATGATTATTGATGATTGATTATTGTTTACCATGTCTACACTTAAGGAATAACTGTCTTATTTTTCTAATTCATGAAGTGATCAATGGATTAGTTTGTGTGATAATTTGCATAAACGCCTTCTAAAATTATCACACAAGCCAATCCATTGATCATCTTCATGAATTCGAAAAATAAGACAGTTATTCCTTATATTTACATGCTTTGATTCCGCCAATCCACGGGCTCCAAGCCTGCTTCTCTCTAGGTGTTGTCCCGCCCTGCACGTGTTTTTTTTTTTTTTTTTGGAACCGCGCCAAAACATGCATGAGGAAATCAATTACATTTACAATTGGTAATTTTATCTTGGACAAAGACATTGGAAATGTAAATATAAGACTTCAATAGATCAGTTCACCGACTGGCAGTCAATAGATAGGTTTCAAAAGATAAGCGAACTGAAAACATGCATGTACAGTATAGATAGGTGAAATTATTTCTTAATCAAATAAATTTTGGTTGTTTTATCAGAGATGTCATATTTTCATCTATCTGCATGTGTTTTCAGTTTTTATGTTTTCATACCTAGCTATTAACTGCCAATTAATAGTCTAACTGGAGCAATTGTAACAATTTAGGAAAAACCAACCCACATTTCGAATTTATAAACGTAATGATTCTAAGCAATGTTTCAATGGTAGAGTGTTTATTTTAATGAAACTTGCTTTAAATATATTACATATGTACCATAACTAGGCACAAATTAGTCCCCTACTGGTCAAACCGGACGAAACTAGACGTTCCTCTGAGCCTGTGCACACTTTTTCTAAACTCTTGCAGATATTGAGCCAAATTTTCGTATGAATGTATCTTAATTAAAGCTCAAGTTTGAAAATTGTTCCGCTTCATTGATTTTTGACAGAATTTTAATTTATTTTTAGCTCTACTGGTCAGAGACCAGAAGAGCTTATGCGATAGTAAGGTGTCCGTTTCTCATCCTTTGTAATAAATACCAGTAGAGCTACAGTCTCGACAGAGACTTCTGGTTTCATAATGGTTTAAGATCATGGTTTGTACTACGATAAATTCCAAAGTTCATTATGGTAGATATGAAGACAGCCAACATTTCTGTGTGTTCTATTGGCCTTGGGTAATAGAACAGACTCAGCTGCTCCCAGCACCAACAGAAAAATATTCTCGTGTATCAACTGCTCAGGCATTAAATAATTCTATACTATTGCACTGATTAACTCGATAAGTAGAGTACTGCACTGACACACCCCAAGTCTGAGATTTAATCCCTGAAAGAATGCTTAATTTACAATAGTTTAAAGTATACATTCTTCATTTATATACCTCAACTTCCAAGGATACTCAGGTGACCTTTAAGGCCCATGGGCCTCTTGTTTTGTAGATCATGTTGGTAGTACAGATATTCTCAATCTCTCTCTCCTTGGGTATTAATTCTTGAAGCAAGCACAAGCTTTCTTGAAGAGTCTTCTGAACTAGTAAAAGTTGTTTCTGATCATGAACACTATAAATTAAGGATAATTAGCTTTTCAGCAATTGAATTTATTGAAGTTTCAGATTAACGTCGGTACTTCTTGACTTCTGTGTCTGTTTTTTGCGCTTTTCCAGCTTCTACCATGTCTGTGTCTACAGCAACAGTTGTCTTCTCATCAATGCTTAGCTCTCCTCCTGTTCAGCAGAAACCTCTGACAACCTGGCTTTTGGAAGAATGTCTCTATCAAAATTGAAGTGGGAACACTTTGTGTACTCCGGCTATAAAATTCCCAGGGTAATAAAAGAAACTGCTCAGATTGTGTTTGAACTTTTAAACAAGAACAACTAGTAGGGCTGGGTATTGGCCTGAGATTTCGTATTGCGATATATAGCGATATTTTTAACTGTATTGCGATATGTACTGCAATATTTTTAATATAATAAAAATGGCATTTTCTTACTATATTTACTATAATTAACATGCAGAGTGTGCATAACTAGGATAAGTTACCAACAAGGAAAAAAAATCTTGTTAATTTCATTTAAGTTATGCTCTGAAATTTTCCCATAAAACAACTTCTGTCTTGCTGTTTGGCTTAATCTGTCTTGCTGTTTGGCTTAATAACAAACTTTTATAAGTCCTTTTTTATATTTAATGACAAAATTCCTTAATCTAAGCATATTGCCAATATATCGATATTACAAAATCGTATTGCAATACGATATTTTTTGTCATTGTATTGCAATATATTGAAATATCCATATATCCATATTATTGCCCAGCCTTAACAACTAAGGATCAGATTATCCGGATTGACGGTGTAAATTTTTGCCACCTGTACTAGTAACCTGACATTCCGGAATCTGTTGCGAATACCTTTTGTACTCGTTCTTAATTTCGATTTTATACTGAATGTGTCTACAAGAAGGATATGGAGATAACGAACAGCATTCAATCTCAAAGTCCATTAACAATATTCAAAATCAGAGCAGAGCAAACACGGACCTCCGAAACATCAGAGGTGGGATCAGGTGCCATAAGGGAGGAGTGAGCATCCCCTGCCGACCGGTCACACCCGCCGTGTGCTCCTTGTCATGATCAGGAAATAAGGGAAAAAATCCATAGTCAATTCAGTCACAGGGGCCAGTAATATGCAAGTATTTCCCAGGTAAAATATCATGAAGAATAGGTAATGAATAAAAAAAAATAACCAAAACCGCATTTCTGAGGCCTTCCAATATTTAAAATGGTAAGACAATGATCTTGGAACTCTTGTGATAATTGAAGGTGGTCTAATCTGCAAAAGTCTTGGATCGATAATTTCAACATAGTAAGATATTGAGAAAATTTCCTTACTGCTGATCCACAGATTAGTTAAAAGTTTACCTATTCCTAGAAGTACATCATGCATGTAATCTATTGAGGTTGACTTTACAAAATCATAGGACTTTAGAGTCATCAAAAATGAGGGTCTTTTATTCCATTGACTGTTTTTCTGTTTTCTATTGCCAGAACTGCACCTCTCAGGCAATATTTAGTTCTTCTCTTCATGTTTAGTTTAGGCACAGATGCATCATAATGAAAGTTGTGAACACTTCCACCTTTTTGTGTTCTGTACGTTTCCCCTGGATGTAAGCATAACATACAACTAAACTG